CGGTTTTTTGGCCGGGAGATCCTCGGTTTTTTGGCCGGGATTTGGAAAGAAAAAGCTCCTCGGTTTTTTGGCCGGGAGATCCTCGGTTTTTTGGCCGGGATTTGGAAAGAAAAGGCTCCTCGGTTTTTTGCCGGGAGATCCTCGATTTTTTTTTTGCCGGGATTTGGAAGAAAAGCTCCTCGGTTTTTTGGTCGGGAGATCCTCGATTTTTTGGCCGGGTTTTGAAAAGAAAAAGCTCCTCGGTTTTTTTGCCGGGAGATCCTCGGTTTTTTGGCCGGGATTTGGAAAGAAAAGGCTCCTCGGTTTTTGGCCGGGAGATCCTCGGTTTTTGGCCGGGATTTAGAAAGAAAAAGCTTCTCGATTTTTTGGCTGGGAGATCCTCGGTTTTTGGCTGGGAGATCCTCGGTTTTTTGGCCGGGATTTTAAAAGAAAAGGCTCCTCGATTTTTGGCCGGGAGATCCTCGATTTTTTGGCCGGGATTTGGAAAGAAAAGGCTCCTCGGTTTTTGGCCGGGAGATCCTCGGTTTTTTGGCCGGGATTTGGAAAGAAAAGTGCTATTATGGAGAATATATATTATAACATAACATAAAAAATAATTTTACTACCAAATTTGTCACGCCAAAACCTCAGGAAGCGCGACCGGCAACCGAGATAATCCGACCGAACAAGCCTGCTAGATTACCTACTACCCAAATTACCCATAAATAAGGAATGGATACATTTCATTAATTGGACAATGAGATAGTCATGTGAATCACTCCAGTTTAGTACCATTAGTTGCATCATTTATAAGTCTCCAAAATATTATATTTCACAACCCTAGTTTAATAGTGGAAGCATGTAATACAATTATGACATCATTAGTTTAACTTTTTCACACCAATACACAACCCATACTATGTCTACGGAGCATCTAATTGATACATAAGAGTACAATGATAGTGCCGGCAACAAGGCTCCGGCTATCCTCAAAACGTAATAATACACACGAGACAAATGATGCACGCCCCCGGAGTGAAGTGGGGCTCACCAAATCAGCTGGGAAGAATGAGTACCGCTATCACTGGTCAATACCTTCTGCTGCGGAACCACCTGCATCCATTAAAAGATGCAGTGCCCCCGACAAGAAGGACGTTAGTACATGTCGAATAGTCCTAGTATGAAAACCAAACACCTAATCAAGGACTTGGAAATACAACATGAATATGATGAATCATGGTAACAGTAGCATGGAATAGATAGCTGTTAAAACCAAAGCAAATTTATCAAGAGCTTTCAATAACATTTATAAATTTTAAGTCGGGATCCTCTATAACCAACTTTAAATAAAGCGGCCTCGCCGTCTCACCCCAATATATGCGAGTGGAGGTGTAATAACAACACTACCAACTTACACATAGCGGCCCTGCCGCCTCACCCCAATATATGCGGGTGGAGGTGTAACACCATACCAAAATCCTACACAAAGTGGCCTTGCCGCTTCACCCCAATGTATGCGGGTGGAGGTGTAACACCATACCAAAATCCTACACAAAGTGGCCTTGCCGCTTCACCCCAATGTATGCGGTGGAGGTGTAACAAAAATACAAAAACCCTACAAAAAGCGGCCCTGCCGCCTCACCCCAATGTATGCCGGTGGAGGTGTAACAACAATATCAAAAATCCTATAAAAAGCGGCCCTGCTGCCTCACCCCAATGTATGCGGGTGGTGGTGTAATCTCAGTCAGAACCTCTACACAATTTGGCATAATAACTTTCATTTGAAACACAACTTGGAGTTATAATATTTAGATATGAAATCCATACCTTGGACACATCCTTAAATAGTAGCACAACATAATAAGAACATTTGGAATACGTATTGAACATATATCTTTGTCACAAAGCTTATTCAAAATAATCAATTTATGATGAACAACTCGGAACTTATAAGGGTAATGTGGGGTTCGATTCTAAGAGAAGAGTTTAGTCAATATTCCTCACTTGAGCTTCCTTAAACTCTAAAATGTTCCGAAAAACGTAGCAACATCGATCTATTTTGGAAACATAACAAATTGAACCAAAAATTAGGAAGATGATCATGGTTCAAACTTATTTGAGCATTTTATCAAACACTAGGTGAGAATTAAGGCTTCAAGGTCCTCCTATGGTGGATCCCATCATCCCACAACTATTTTCTACCATTTTTAGCTCAACCTTATTCCTACACCCTTTGATAACACATGCATGCATGATGAATAACTCCCACACCTATGAGTTTCCTTACTAATTACCCATTTTTAGTTAAATTTTGAAATTGAGGGTTGCGGTGTAGAATCTTACCCCTAGGATGAAGATCTAGTGAGTTTTCCTTATTAATCTTCCAAGATTTGAGTAAGAATTGAGGAACAATTGGTTAAGGAACTTTCTCCCACTTTAGAGTACTCTCCCACTCTCAAAATATCAGGTCTTTACTTAAGAAATGGTCCATAGCGCCTATATAACGAAATGGGGTCGGGTTATAAGTACCCCAAAAATGAAGCTCCGAAATAGAATATGCGGTCCGCGAAATGGTCCTTCGGAATTGGCATCTCTGCATGGGTATGCGGCCGTTTTGCGATCGTAAAATGCACCGCAGAACTTCCCTCCGGGAAATTTCCATGTTGATTTTGCGTTGATGTGCGGCCCGCGAAATGATTGTGCGGTTGCATAATCAACCGCAAAATGTCATCCAAACTTGCCCAGTTTTCTGCTTCACTCTGTGGCCCGCAAAGTGATTCTGTGGCCGCATAGTGGGCCGCAGAAATATCTTTTTCTTCCGAATATTTTTCTTTAACTCCTCAGTGTACTGTTCAACCCAAAAGTCTGTATCGCGGCTCGCAAGCTCGCTGTGAAGAATCTCTACAATCATTAACACATACGTCTACCTCAGCACCACAAAATTTCGGGTTTTGGTAAAAATTTACGGGGCCTTACATCCCCCTCCCCTCCCCCCCCCACTTAAGATCATTCGTCCTCGAATGAGGGTCAAAGTTTACCATTAGCATCCAATGTGACTCAGTTGCTACACCACACACCAACAGTTCCAAATTTTTCTAACTCCCTAAATTTCCAAAAATTTCGCCAGAGTCTCCCCTGTAATTGAGCCTATCCACCTGCCAGAAAATACCCAAAAACCAATCCTAACAACATATACATAATCAACGATGCAACATAATATGATACAACACCACCCGTGGCCTCATAAGCAATATATTACTAGAAAGGGAACACCCTGAGCATAAAATGTACAAGCCATACATAATTCATAGGGAACAATTTCATAGACACGATTACATAGCTATTCAAACAAGTGAGGTTACTTCTTCTTCATTTCTTCCTCGGCCTCCCAAGTAGCCTCTTCAACCTGTTGGTTTCGCCATAACACTTTCACGGAGGTAATTTCTTTATTTCTTAGCTTTCGGACTGGCCTATCAAGAATGACAACCGGAATTTCTTCATAGGTCAGTTCTTCATTAACCTCAATAGTCTCAACTGGTACAATAAGTGACAGATCTCCAACCTCCTTTCTCAACATGGACACATGAAACACCAGGTGCACTGAAGACATCTCTGGAGGTAGTTCAAGCCCGTAAGCCACCTGACCAATCCTCTGAATGATTTCATACGACCCGACATACCTCGGACTCAATTTCCCTTTCCTACCAAACCGCATTACATCCTTCATGAGGGAAACCTTCAAGAATACCCAATCATCTTCTTTGAACTCCAAATCTCTGTGATGAACATCTGAATCGGACTTTTGACGACTTTGAGCAGTTTTCAACTATTCTTAATGACCTTAACCTTCTCCATAGACTGATGCACGAGGTCTGGTCCTATCAATTCTGCTTCACCAATCTCGAACTACCCAATGGGAGATCTACATCTTCTACCATATAAAGCCTTGAACGGGTCCATCTGAATACTAGCATGGTAACTGTTGTTGTAGGCAAATTCTTTGAGCGGCATAAAACTTGACCGTTATGGTGAAAAGTGCTATTATAGAGAAATTTGACAATAGTAGTTTTATTTATGATGTGGTTTATCTTTAATTTTCAACGTAATTTTAGTATTTTAACTTTCAAATAGCCAGATCCATAACCTATTTACACAAAGAAATAAATAGACATGACCTACTTTCTGTGCAGTTACATGACTTCTACATCGACAGTAATACAGTAATACTTGTTGACATTGAATATCGATCAATTACACCTCTTTGACTTTAATCCAAGTTACTAGCAAGTAGTTTATTTTAACAAGTAGTCATACTTCCTTTCTTTTTCTCCTTTCTGGTTTTGGACAAAATATAAATGATGGCTACAAACATGAACCGTGAATCGTGATTATTTGTATATTTGAAGTAAATCCTATCAAGTCATGACGTGCTAAATATGTGTGTTCAAAGCATGAGGAATAAGTTAACTCTATCTAAATCCAAGTAACACATTGTTCATAAAAAGTATCACAAAACTTTGAACAACTTTCTGTTTCCGTCATTAATAATAAAAGCATAAACTACAAATGTTTTTCCCCCTTTTATTTGACGCATAAAAGCATAAACTACAAATGTTTTTCCCCCTTTTATTTGACGCTTTTCTTTGAAGGAGAGTTTTGGAGCAACAATAAAATTGTCTCTGAGTGACATATCAGTTACGGGTTCGAGCCATGGGATCAGTCATTGATGCTTCTATTAGACTGTCTACATCACGCCTCCCTTAAAGTGTGTCTCTTCTTCGGACCCTGTATGAACTCGTAATACTTCGTGCATCGAGCAGCCATTTGACTCTTTTCTTTAGAGCCCACAGTATATTCACTTTTCAATGCCATTCAAGATTAAAAACACCGCAAATGAATATATAGGCCAGAGTTGCAGTATATATATCTACAAGACGATGCATGTGAGAAATTAAAGTTCTCAAAAGGATATTGTGGAAATTAATTGGAATAAGGTCATGCCCCACAGGGTTATAAGTTAGGCTTATCATCATTAATCGCACTAACAATCTTCCCAACTCTCAGTTTTACCCCCGAAAGTACCAATATATTATCTCTGTCTCCCATAATATCTAATCGTAATGCTGCATTTACAATTCCTTTTGTCCACGCATAGCAGGAACCCTTCTAATCCACAGTAAGTCTACATCTTTCTTGAAGTTAATTAATTGAAGCGTGTTTGACCAAAAATATAAATTTTGGTTCAAATAATTAAATTTAGAGTTAATACTCTCAAACCCGCCTAAACTACACGATTTTTGTCAGTTTCCTACCTAAACTATCGAGTGTCCCCGAAAACCCCCTGAACTATATCCCCCTTCGTAATAAAATCGCCCAATCGCATTAGCCCTAGTGCGTATGATACACGCTCTAAATAAATTATAAAACATGCCATGTGGCATGCCACGTGGATAATTAATCTAATTAATCATAAAATCGACTTAATTAGCCTAAAATAAGTTAATTACTCTCAGTCAAAAAAATTGGGTGAGTTTTTACTCGTTCCCTTCAGTAAAGTAGGTCATTCACTCTCAGTCAAAAAAATATCCTTTTACTCTCATCAGAGAAAACTCTCATCGGACCTTCAACATCTCTTCTCCGATCATCTTCCTCTGATTTCTCTTCAAAACTAGTCGCTGCTACCATCGATTCCTCTTCAAAACTAGTCGCTGCTATTTTGAATTTGGAATAAAGATGAAGTTTTGCTAGTGAATCAGAACAAAATTAGGGCTTAGGGTTTTGCTGGTGAAATATCTTCCTCTGATTCTTTGAAGAATCTGAAGATTATTAAAGAAGATTGCTTCAATACAAGTTTTATTCTTTATTCCCTATTAATTTTGTTGTGAAATTATAATAGGTAGGTGCTGCGATTTAGTTCGTAGTAAAAAAATTCTTGGGTCTTTTTTTTGAGGTGTTAAACCTCATAACTCTTCTACAATGGGTGTTCTTCTTTCAAATTAATTTGGGTAACAATGAAGGATGGATAAAATGCAAAAGCTAAAAAATAAACTCAATAAACAGAGATAGAATTTCAAACGGATTAAGATGAAGAAAGAGATAAAAAGGATGAAGAAAGGTGAAGAAATGGTAAAGAAATGGAGAAGAAAGGTGAAATAATGGAGAAGATGATGTAATATAAAGAAAAAGGGATAAAATATAAGATTTTTAAATAAATGAGCTAATTAGCCGTTATTCAAGCTGTCAGGTGGGCCCCTTTTCATGCTGATTTTCACCCTTCACGCGCTCTTGCGTAACTGATTTCACACAATATGCCACATAAGCGACGAGGGGGTTTTATTACAAAGGGGGATATAGTTCAGGGGGTTTTCGGGGACACTCGATAGTTTAGGTAGGGTACTGACAAAAATCGTATAGTTTAGGCGGGTTTAAGGGTATTAACTCTTAAATTTATCTAAACAAAGGCTAATCCTAGTTAATAATAATATCTGTGGATCTTAATATTAGAATAAGTAGTTGATAAGTGTTTAGTAGATAGCGACGGCACCACGTGATAAATGCTTTTTAAAAATCAAGAACTGTGATGTAGCATACAATATTCAATAAGCAATAGTAAATGGCATTTATGTAGATAAGGAGAATAATTCAATCAATAAATGGTGGAATAAATGAACTTTTCACCTCACAATAATTGGAGGACAAATCCTAGAATAATCGAGGATTTTTCGGATCTGATGATAAAGTGTAGATGAGAATCTCAACAAAAAGTAGATATTTGTATTGAGTGAAAACCGAATCTTTGTCAAAGTGCTATACTTACAAAATGAATCTCACATGCCCTCTTCTTCTGTCTCCTTTTTCTATTTATATGGGATATCTTCCCAAGAAACCCTAATAGTACAAATGTCAAGAATATTTGCTAGAATGTCCACTAGAATATTCTCTTTCAGATCCTATCTTGAAAACTAGTCATTACTGCTCTATCGCCGGTACTCGACCTCGACCCTAATTCTTGTTGGTGTCTTGACTGCGGCTCTCATCGACTCCTCGACCACAGGCTGTACGCCTTCTCCGACCATCTTAATAAATGATGACTTGAGGATCCTTCCCGTAATCTTATATCGGCCTGAATATTCTAAAGGCGGATTTTGTCCCATACAGTTAGTCCCTCCGCTTATTGAGGCTGGCCTCAGGCGGGCTTGATGAGCGGATTATGTTCATTGCGGTCGAAATGGTTGGGTGAGATAACCGGGGTCGAGATGATTGTGGCGAACTAACGACGTGGACTTTCGTGAGCCACAAATTTTGAACGCTTCGTCTCATGTTCAGTTTGTTGGAGTTATGTTGCTCATGAATCAAGATGATATCATGATGTCATACATCATCATAACGCCTATTCCTGATGCGCTACTTCGTTTTGTGTGTGATTCCTGATTGGACCTGCTGCTTTGGTTCCGGTGCCAGGTAATGATGAGCTGATTTTTCGGTTCTGATGCCTGAATCCTTATAAATAGGGATATGAGGGTATAAATCAAAAGTTTTCAGAGTTCCTGTATCAAAACCGTATATCCTCTCCCTTCTTTCCTATTGATGTGCTTTTTCCTCCTCTGTTCCGGAGATCCTTGTTTTTTTCAATCTCCACTGTTCGGTAATTCTTTCTCTTTATGTGGAAATATGCCTAACGTACCTTCTGAGTCTAGCGAAGGAAGTGATGCGGTCCTTTTATCGATGGTATTTCCCCCTCATGCGGAGAACATCCCCACCACCGCCACCGAGGATGGAGGCTTCCCAACGATGGAGGAGATAGTTCCTCGTAACCTTGATACCAGGTCTAATTTCTCGAAATTGCCTGAAGTTGACCGTGGAACCTTTAAATCAGCAATGAAGGAGGTCTATTGGTAGAGCTTAAGGCTAAATACGGCCTTCACGTCGGCTACACTCTTTCTCTCCTTTCGCTGGCGGAGGAGTTTTGTAGATATTACGGCTTCCGCCCGGCTCAGCTTGCGTCGTATGTTTACAAACTCATGAGGATGTCACCAAAATTCGCGGAGCTGGCCGGGGTCGAACTCATACTTCGACATTTGACGCACCTGTTTGCCCCCAGCTAAATCTTCACCACCGAGGAGGTAAATGCTTGGTGGTGAAGATGGATGACAAAGCTAACTGCTAGTTCTGAATCAACTTCTTTTATGTTAGAACTGAGGATGCGGTGGCCAACGCCGAAGATTTTCCTGAGGCTTGGAATTGTACTCGTAAGTGCATACCCTCCTCATTTATAAGTATCTGATTTTTCTTTCGTGTTTGGTCGTGAATCTAACCTTTTGTCCTGTTGATGAGCTACACGCTTACCTCCCTCTTCGGTTGACGATATTTCCGACTGGGTTGGTCGGCTCCTTCCTCACATCGTGGGGATACGCGAGAGGTCTGGCTTCTTCAAAAGGTTTGGGCCTCATCTCCCTTTGACTGGCAAGTCATTCTTATCGTCGGCCTCTTAGTTATTTCTCTTTTTGGTTTACTTTTGCCGACCTCCTTTTTCCTTTATACTTTCCTTAACTTTAGCTAGGGGGTCCTCGAAGAAGTCAAAAGTTCCCGTACCCGCGTTCCGAAAGAGGAAGAACGCACAGGCCTCGACTTTCGCTCCCTCCTCAATCATATCCTCTTCGGCTCATGCCCCAATTCCTCCTTTGGTCGTGGCCGCCTCTGCTTGTGCCTCGGTTC